TCTGTTAACAGTGCTCAAATTCTGCCGTTTAGTACTGTTACTACGACATACTCGCATTTACATAAAAACAAAGACTTTTTATTATGTACACTACTAGATAAGCTGTACGGTATAAAAAAATACACAATAATATTGAGGAAATTGTAGAACCCCTATTTTGACTATCATTAGCAAGACACTAGCATTATAAAAATTAAATATGTAGAAATTTGGAGTTCGAATGGAATGAAATTCAATGAATCGAGACGACTTGTTATTTGTAATTAAATTATTTTAATAATAAAAGTATATACCCAATTTGGATACTGATTTATTGCAAAGTTTTCAACTGCTTCTTTTAAATCCCATCTGGTAACACTGGTGCACTGTACTACAGTTTTAGATCTGAACAGCTTGTCTAGTAATAGTAGTATTTGCTTAAAATAATAATTTACATCCACATATCATTCGTATTAAAAAAATAAGATATTATCACCCATCTACAGAAACATTACCTACATTAGAATAAAGTAAAAATAAAATATCTAAGTAAAACGTTGCGAGTGTCTTCTTTACTTCACCAATGTTAATAGGTTAAAAACAGAGATAAACATGTCTACAATATACAGTAATAAATAAAATATAAAAATTTATGCACTGATTATAAACTTTTACTGTATACTATAAATTCTGCTTACATAATACTTGAATGACACTTCGGAGGACAAATAAGCTTCATTATTATTTTATTTTCCTCCATTACACACAAATAATAAGTAGACATTATAATTAGCATAAAAAGTTAGCAAGTGCCATAGAAAATATATGTAGAAAAATACTTTTTCGCTTCTTACGATAATAAATATATGGAATGATTTTATTACCACGTACTTATAAATAAGCTAATAATTATTGTATAAATATAAATATAGAAATCACGAGAATGTATAGTACCTATTCATGGAATGACTTCAAGATAAAACTAGTAAAAAAACATAAACTTAAACATAAACAGTTTTTTTTTAATAATCTTATTACTACCATGACGATTTTCGCATTAATATTACAAAGAGTAGTTTGAATACCTAATTTAAGAGTGATAAGTTCGATCAGTAGAACTATTACTACTGTAATAATAACTAACAGTCCATTAATATAGGTATAGGATAATATAATGACACCTTGTGTCGACTTAATTAACTTCAACGCATCGCAAACAGACGCGTCTATTCATTATTTTATCTTCTATTATCACCTTTGTTAAGGGGCCGTTTATATAACCACTACGAAATATTAAAAAATGTGATTTGAGACTGACTTCTGCAGTTTCATATTATCATATACTATACTAGTTAACCCTACGAAAAGTGCCGCTTTATATTAAATAGATTAGCTTTTTTCCCGCGACTTCGCCAGTGTAAATTATAGCCTACGTTATCCGCGAATGATGCATGATGATTTAGCTTTCCGTAGATGAAAGGATTTTAAAAATCCGTTCAGAAGTTTCGGGCCTTATTATAATTCAAACAAACTATCAAATTTCTCCTCTTTATAATGTTTTTCGTTAGTCGTTAATTAACATACTTTTAAAGCAGTTTAAAATTGTATTCCTTACAAATTTAAAATCCAATATTTCTTCTTTGTAACATTAGTAGGTATAGATAATAATGATCTGCAGAAGTTTGTAAAGTACCAACTCCTAATAACACTAACTGATTTTGACCGCTGTAGTGCTAAAATTTAATAGATTTAAATTTTTACGGATAACGGTACAACCCTGCGTGCACAAGTGTACCCGCACTTAGCCAGTTTTTTTGACATTATAGCATGAGCTGATTAGTTAGCACGGAACTGCATTTGAGATGTATTCTGGTTGGTATTTTAGCACTCTAGTGGTTAATAGCAATTAGTCTTATTAAGCGACAGAACCGTATAATAATATCACAAACATATCCATTATACATACATTGTAAAATACTACATAATATATTATAAACTGTAGAAGTTTAACTACATATTACATTCCTGTCAAACGTTAAATGCGTCGACGGTTTTTTTTTAATTGTATCGAAATTCTGCGACACTTATACTATAAAAAGTGCGATCCTAACTATATTGTTCACATTGATTCAAAAACTGTAAATTATATCTACAAATAAGTAAATTGCATTTCACTTATACGATGATCATTTAATGTTTGAAACACTTCGAGAGATTTAATTACCTATACGACTATGCTCAAGAAACGAGTAATTTATAAAATGTACTTAGAATGTCGATCGTATTCAAAAACATTGCTTAATATTTTACATAAAAAAACCAACAGGATGTTTCGGGTAGGTTAATCGCTAATCGGGCGAGTGTTCGTTCAAACAAGCTTAATTAAGAAAAAAAAAATACTAATCGATGTGTACCTGTGTTGAAGCAAAATTTCGAAGCGCAACCGATCCTAATAAACCAGAATTTTCATCTTACGGTAAAAAAAATAAGATTCATAAGATTCGATCGCAAGTTTGCTCATCGTCGTAATAGGTAGGTATGTTGGTGTATTCTGCGCAAACGAAGATTCACAATGCACTACATTAGATGGATATTTCTGTACCAGAGACTTTTACATACATATACATTAAAACATTTTAATTTCAAAGCTACGAGCATATTTTCATGAATATTTAGACAATATATCTAAACAACCGAAAGGAATAAGTATGACATATATTTTAGTCATTCGGTTGAGATTGAAATGCGGTATATAACTATACTAAGTGACATTCACAATGATTTTAATCCTATTTCCGCGCTAGTGCGCATGCAATAGGCCTCTTAAATGACACGCTTAAGTAACAATAACGCGCTATATACGTTTACACACTAATTTCGAATATAACGATCGGTATTTTACCGTAATGATCTTAAAACTTATTATACTTACTAAATATTGTTTTTTTTTAATATTACTTAATATTTATTATCATTTCGTTCGAGTCGGGCGAAACTGGAGAAATAATTTTTCAACAGTTTTAAACAAACCAGTGAGCAGCTATGCCTCCCACAAAATCACATCATTTAAGATAAAATAAAATCTTATCATCTAAACATTATTAAAGTATTTATTTTTTGGAATATTATTATTTATTCATACGTCTTATTATCATTGATGACACACTACGTAATTTTACCCTAAGTTATTATCTATGGTAGAAAGGGACGATATTATAATCGTCTTAAAATTGTAGAGATATGGATAGAATAGAGAAGATTTATATGTAGATTGCTTTACTTTCGTCTTTAAATGATAAAAATGTGGTTAAATTGAACGTATTTATTAAACTTAATGTTCGAAACCCTTTTTTTTTTAATTATGCCGTACATAGTATCCATTAAATTATATTTAACTATTTCCAAGATGTTAAAATTATAGAGGATTTTGTTGTTATAATTTTGATATCGAAAGCTTATGGTTTAATTATTATAAGACTGCATTAACTTTACACATTATAAGAAGAAACACAGCGTAAGGCAGCTATAAAGCTTATACAAATAGCCGAGCAGAAGTCCTGAAACTTACATACTAAAACATCAATAGAGACTTAGTATTCAAAAGCTTTAGATAGAACTGGTTTTTTTTCAATAAATTTCGATCATAAATTAAAATGAGTTGCAAGAGCTTTATAAAGCAAAAAAGATGAAACACATGAAAGATTTGTTTGACGCTGAAATTATCCAAAAGTTACGTTTCCAAATTTGAAAGATTTAAATTATTTCACAACTAGAAAATGGTTAACACTAAAATATGCACTACACAAACATGACGTAGACCAGTTATTTATAAAGTAAGCATAAGGCACTCTTGATGCCATCTGTGAATTGAATATATATTTAAAACTTACTAAGTATTCCCACGGGTTTCTATGCTATGGCTAAGAAACGTACGTAAGTTTACAAAAGCAATTCATTGTTAACTGAAACGACATATCTATCTCTATGTATGACAATGATATTACAATAAAAAAGGGTGGTTAGGTACTTGCATTAAAAAGTGTCACTTTAAAACTATGCTATTAAGCATACCTGAGCGCAGTCTGAAAGCAAAAGCGTTGATCGTGTGCGTTTATGTATCTTACATTTACCTGACATTTATTTGAAATCCTATAAGATACTGAAACTTCGGAACTCCGGTGTTTGAATTCGGAGCATCGAAAACTAAATCTAAAGCTGAAAAATACTTTGGTTCCGATTTCGATCCCTCGTGTTATTATACGTATTATTTATCAGTATCAAGTTTATTTTATTCCTTGAAAAATTCATTATTTATACACGGGCAAATACAAATGTTTGACATCATCTTTACCACACTTAGGTAAAAGTAGGCATTTAACATATTAAATGATTATATGTCTAGTCTGTGACAAGTTGAATTACAAGTGTGTCATGACATGTGCGTGTGTGTATGCTGGGGACAATTTTAGACATCGTATTAGTTTTGACATAGCCTGTCTACCCTTTTTTATTGTAATATCATTGATGTTTGATATAATGTTTTATATATCTATCGTATATGCGCTTATTAGTTATATCGATACTTATTCTTTATTACTATGAATCAATAAATACGTTTTATTAACTACATGTTTTAAATCATGCAATAATATCCTAGTTTAGTAACAAAAAAATTACATCCCAAAAGAAAACAGCTTCCACATTTTTTGGAATATACGAAAAATATGGGAATGCTCGGAGTCCAAAAACTTTTCTGGCCAGACAAATTTCCTTAAAAACTCAATAATAGTAAAAGTGGACATTAAAAATGTATACATCGCTTTTGTCACCCGCTCAAAGATTGGATATGCGCGGAATTTTTGATGTGCATTGGGATGTGTGATGTAATATTGGAGGGAGTAAAAAGGGTAGGCGTCCATGGCTCTCATTTAGACGGTAGCAAGGGGCGGTTTAGTGATAAATAAGAAAGCCAAATGTCGGTTTTGGTCAAACGACCGGTGATTCACAGATGTTTCATTGCTTTATGTATAGTTCGAAGCGCGCTGTTGCCTCCAGGCGGAATGGAAGCCCGCAGCGGAATCTGAATCGGAGTCTGCTTCTTCGCCAACACCGATTTGAGCGCGAGGCTGAAACGAAAAAAAATATAATGCTAAACAATTTCCGTGTTATTAATAAAAAGGGTTTCAAATCGCCACTGTGCAATGTTAGGGCGCAGGCCTTCTTTAGGTATAGATGGAATAAAATCTAATCGAATAGGGAGAATGGGCCATGACCCACAACGTGATCCCAGTGTAGATTAATAAGTGTTAACGACTGCAGATGCAGCCGAGACAGACGGCTTAATGTGCTTTCCGAAGCACGGCAAAGCTCGACATAATAAATAGGTACTTGGTCACCCATCTTGATTAACCGGCCTCTCTGAAAGTTGTTTAATTTCCTGCATCGCAGATTGAACGCAATACCAACTATCGATTTCTTCTTTGGATTAAATTTTGTACATTGTTTATTAGTAATATTGGAATTGTATTCATAATCGATACAATTTAGAAAGAGTAAGAATTTTTTAAAAGAGCCGTTTACAAGATTTGAATAAATACTCTATATATTATTAAAAAGGAGTTTCCAACATCTTGGTTGGTTTTGTTCTTCTAGATATTTTAAATTATATCTAAGGAAAGTCAGGACTTCACCATCATTTGTATTGACTAGAAATTAAGAATATACTTCTCATTCTCATAATATAAATATTATAAATAGTAGCTATTAGTCCGCTACACGGTGTTTAGAAAAATAATTAGTTACTCAGCACTGGTTGCGTAGGGTTGTCACAATATTGTTTTAGCAGATATAGGTACTTACTAATTACTGTATGAATAATGTGACATAATGTAGATAAAATATTAGAACAATAAAACATCGGTTAGCATTTTATCAATAGTAAATTACACTATTTACTACAATAAATAAAAATAACAAAGTGTTGCCAGTGTGACTTACTAAACACAATAAAAAAAAACACTTCTAATAAATTTGTGTCTGAGAAATATTTACAGCGACTTCGGTTTGTCTTTTACTTTAAAATAAAATATAGATTAGAATAATTTACTCAGTGATATCGTAGCATTCTTTAGGTGAAATAATTTTCGGGAAAAAAGCATTCGGTTTCGGTTTATCAGAGCAGAATTATTGTCGATTGAAAAATAATCATAAAATAATTTTAGAATTATCATTAATAAAGTACATCCTACCTATACTTCGCAACTGTTGTAAATAATAGGTTCACTAGGTGTGGAAATCGAAAGTTCTGGATCCCCTTCATTATTCTTCATGCAGCCAAATATAGAACGTCGTATTACAAATTTCTTCGCTGATGATGTGAACACAACAATGCGGTAACGTGTCTAGTTCTCGATTGACGGAGTCCGAGCGAGACAGCGATTTATGTGTGCATGCATGTGTAGACTATACGCCGCGCACACATACACACCAAGCATGAAAGTCAGGATTACATGCTAAGGCTATACTGTGAACCTGTCCATATCGCTCGGCCGGGTACAATGAGGTAGGTAGACAGGAATAGTATTTAGTCTTATCGCCCAGCCTCAAGTAGCTACGTAATCATGGTTATAATCTTCGTAAGTACCTTAGGGATGCGATTAGATTTCTTTTCTGTACACTCTACGGTATTAATATTTTGATGAAACTTGTTATATGTCCTAAGTGGAAAGCTAAGCAAAAAACAAACAAAAAAAGTTTGCGAGATATCCATGGACATACAAACTTACATATATACACTCGTATATGAATATTACGCCATTCGGAAAGAAGAAGTCGGTTAAAACCCGTCCGCTTTCCCAAACAATTTGAACGTTGAATATCCCAATAATTTCTTAACTAAATTGTAACGTACTTTGGTAACGGTTTAATACGGCTCGTATACCTAAAATTACTAACTTTCAATTGGTTTCCTGCCCGTTTGCTTCCAATTTGCGATTGTTAGAACGCTAGATAAAAACATATTCTTTGTATCGATAAGTACAAGAGTAAAACTCATTAGACCGTTCAATAATCAACCAACAAAGGAGCTTGCGGTGCGTTTCCTACTCGTTTCTCGCCTTATTATTTTATCAAAACTTGAATATTAAGCTAAATAGTAGACGATCACTTTATTTAATTAGCATTTATTACATTCGACAGAAAATCGGTATGCATATTACTGATAATATGATTGAAAACTAGGGGAGACGGATAGAGGATTCGAAATAAAGGTGTGTTGAAGTACTAATGGTGGCCAGCACCTAGTGCGGATGTTAGGTGTACAGCTCGAAGTAGACTTTTACAACAAATTCTGAGATGTGGTGAAACGCTGCGTTGTCTACATATTGCTTTTTTTAAATTAATTGTAATAATTAAGTAATTTATTAAATTTCAGTTATTACATGAATTTTTCGGAGTCGGTTTTTTCAGCCGGTTTCTGAATTGAAAAAAAATGCAAAATCTTAACTGATTACTCTCAAGAACTTAAGTTTTTAAAGTTGCTTAAGCACGGCTTGAGACAAACTCAACTTTCTAATTCTCAATTCAGAAACCCGGTGTTAATTTCACAACAACTGCGGCCGTGTTCCAGAACTATGTAGTCTAAGAAATGTATTATTTTTTAAACTATTTTGAAACTATGAAAATGTATGGTCCCATTCTATATACTCCCACGCAAAGATGTTCTATCACCCGATCTCCGCATTGGTTACTGAATAATAGTACTTCAACATACTGAAATATCAAGCTTTAGAAACCTCTCGCACATTTTTGTCACGATCTGTCTGACTATCACCGATACCAACATGCTGTTTTTAAATTTCGAGAAATCAGCGTTGTTTTATCTCACCTCTGTATCAAAACCCCCTAAAAATGTTTCAAAGTTTATATATGTCAACATCTAATTGGATTTCAAGAACTACTTACCTACTTATATTAAGTATCGTCAATCTCTCGTTTGAAATAATGTATAAAAAATAATGATTATACAATAATAAAATTTGTCGCGGGTAAAAAGTTCCCATTTATTTGCATGACTGGGTTTTCGATTGAATGGCACATTTCAATTGCATGCCTAGTTTGTTGTTGAATCATTATGACATTTAAAATAGGACGTGCCTTTGAAAACTTTCCGTATAGATGAATGAGTACGCTTTTCCGCCTCTGTCACTTTGTTTACAAAACGGTTTTTTGATCATTACGAGTTATGGTCAATGTATAATTAAAATAATGTCTTCAGTCCAGTATCCAATAATATTTCAATGTGTAAAATTATAACTTACCTACAAACAGACTATTCATTTAAATTGAAATTGTTTTTTGGGTTGGAAATATAGTACACTATATTTCAATTTAATTAATTTCTTTATACAGTTTTCTTTGTAGCGCCGGTTGGACATATGTGTTTAATATTTGTATACTAAATTTTAATTAAATCGGACCAAGTGTTTTCGGAGAATATCGGGCGTGACAGTCAGTCAAAAAGGAGGTTCTATGGGTTTCTTTTCCATTTTTATTACGGGACCCTAAAAATAAATAAATAAATAAAAAATATCTTATTGCCAAATATTTACGCACACTAAAACGTAAATAAATAAATTTTAAACATTTAAAGTACACAAAATAAAATTGACTTGAAAAGCTTGAATTTCCTTGCCTCCGATATCATTAGCACAATAAAAGCTTGTTTTTAAAAACTTTATTATATTTTTTTTATATATTACGAGTATTTTGAAGGTCTTGTATAGAAAAATCAAATAACTGGATGGCGTTATTTCATTACAAAGTTCCTATGGCCTGCAATTCCATCATTAGACTCTCGGGCGATATTATTTCGGACTAGTCGTTATCAAAACAAATTAAAGGAGTCTAAATTTAATTAGTTTAGTTCCTCCAAAGAGGTCCAATGGCTACCTCTGACTTCATCATTAGATTAATATTACTTTCTCATCTTATAAGAATAAATTTATGTTGTAAATTTTGAATAGAAATATTCGGCTACAATGAGACTGACATGTTTTATAAGAACCCAAAATAAAATAAAGAAAACAAATGTATATTTAGTAACTATACCAAATGAGTCAAGAAGGGAACAGTAGCTCGACGGAAATAGTGCCTAGAGTGTACTGTGCTATAGAGAGAAGAGCTTTTTGTGTCTTCCACATCAATCGATACCAGCGCCGAGTAATGTGTTTTTGCACCGTAAATTATATTTTGAGGTAAGTTTCACTTGATCTTTTCTTTACTTTTACAAGAGTTTTTATAATAATTATCGATTTTTTAAAAATTTTTTAATAGTAAAATAAAGACTTGCAAACTGGTGAAATAAAATTAAAACTTAAATTACAATCTGTTTATTAGTAGGGTATTCGATGTATAGCGAAACAAGCGATTTTGTGAATACCTTTAAGATCAATTCGGGAAAGAATCGATCTAAAGAAACTTAAAGATCGATCTTTATTAAACACGAGGTTTCTTTACTAATGTAATAAATGTTCTAAATTGAGGAAATTGTAAACTGATAATAATGATGTTATGATTAAACCATTGTATTCCCAAATTTTGAAGAAAATAACGTATAACTCAGAGGCAATAGTTAAGATCGATTTTCGATATGTTTGTTATGCGACGATCTTGATCTGGGTGGCAAAAAATCGATACAGAATATCAAAAAAATAATTTATTCGAAAGTGCAACAGCTGAGATCATGTACAGTCAAGTATATTTATTGTTATTGCAACGAGTTGAAAGGTTGTAAGATATTTAGTTGAATTATCGTCATTTATTGATAGGATTAGAAATAAAACAAAATTAATATTTAATTGGTAATTGCTTGAGTGTTTATTCTAGAATTTAGTTTATGGATGAACTCAATAAATATTTGTATAATAACATAACAATAGGATTAGTTTCCGAAATATTTTTTTTAATATGCAAATATGAACGTTTTTTGAAATTTTACGGTTTTAAATTTCGAGGTTATTTTTTAACAGATCCAAAAAATATAAAAATGTATGTTGGTCCAGGGGGTCACGTGATATGTTAGAAATTTAAGTCGATCGCGAAGCGTAGCGTAGCGATTATCATGCATTTCGTTTTTTTTAAAGAGATGACGAAAAAAAAATTGTCAAAATGAACAAAGTTATTTTGGCCCTAAGAAGCATAGTATAGAAATCAAAAACTAATATTTTTCACGAAAATATTACTGCACTTTTTGCACAAAAAGTACAAAAAAATATGACATGTTAATTATTAGTTAAACTTCCAAAGAATCACGAGTCACATCAAACGAATAATTGACTTATAATTCTGAAAAATATTTTTAGTGGTATAAACGTCAAAGTAACATTTTGTATTCCATAATATAAAGGTAACACGAGAAGGTTCAAAGTAGCGTAAAATGCTACAAAAGTAACATTCTGGCAACACTGGTCTTATTCAGTTGACGAAATAATATACTAAAAGAACGTGTGGTGCTTTTAAATTAGCCGTCTCTTTGAACGACTCAAATGTCATAATCATTCAACTAGAAAACTAGGTGTGAAATTGAATGACGCCATTCAATGAAATAGCTAGCCGCCTAATTGGACGACTGCTTTTAGCATTGTTTGCGACATTCTATATAAATATACAATAATATAACTCAATATCGCAAAAAAAAATCAATTAGCATTTCACACCCCGTGATACAGATATACTCATTAACCTTATTACAGTTAATGAGTTTTCAATAATGATGAGGTTAATCAAAATACACGAGTGAAAATAAATATGTTATTTTTTTAAGATAAACTATAGTGAACATTATTGTCTTTTTGTAAAGATCTAAACAATATTATATTTTATATTGCGCAATAGCAAATGTAACAAAATATTTTCAATACATAATAAATTCTAGTTAATAAGTTTGACTCATTCGTTGAGTAGTTAAATACGACTAGATTTTTTCAGATTCTTTACTAATGTTAAATCATCAATTAGGATCACTGAATAAATTTATTATACTGATAGGAAATATAAAGATGAAAAATTTGATTGTTTTTCTTTTGCGTTGAATAGGCAACGAACTTACTAGACTTTAAAAGTTCTTTCACCTCCGGGAAGCTACATCATACGCGGGTGAGATAGACAATAATTTACGTAGCCGAAGTCGCGGAAAACAGCAAGTTAATTATATTTAGAAACAATAGATTTCAATAAAAAACAACTACAAATATATTTCCACGAATATTAGGTACTCACAATAATATAATAAAACAACCTTGAACCGGTTATAAAGGGCAATCAGAAGTCTAGACATAGTCTGCAATACCTATACCTATATGAAAAAAAAAAATGAAATGGATACGCAGTTCGCCGTTCAATCGATATTACATCAAACAAAGAACTTTATATGCAGCTAAGTTTGAAGTCTGTGATTTATATTATGCACATGTAGACGAAAAGCTACCAGATTACTATTATATATATTTAAGTACCAAAACGAAATAAAAATTAAAAAAAAAAAACAAATGCTCAAGCCATTACACAAAAAAATTAAATAATATCAATACTAATATCACTGGAACCCATGATTTCATATATTCAAACATCCCTAAAACTCATCTAAATATGAGAGACGTCAAAAAAAGTTTAATTTTATTAGACAGTCAATGTTCTTTGTTAAGTCGAAAAAAAAATTACATTAAAAGTAGGAATAAAACACAGAAACAATCACATTAATAACAAATTCGCTAGTAGCACAACAATAAACGGCATTATCGCATTTCTATCACCTCTTGAACTTACCTTTCATGAGAGCTGTTGATTCTCCGGCTCACCCCCGGGAAGGCTTAGCTTCAGTGTCTGAGTACACGGCGGCGGCGACGGCAGTATCGATTTGGGGGTGGGGGTGCACAATAGCGCCAATAAACGATAGCGGTCGCGTCGGAAAACTAACGTAAGTACGTTTTAGTTTCTCTGATTCGGTCAAGAGGGAGTATATAATACGATGTATACATATTTGAAAGCACGTTATAAGATTTCCGAAAGATTTGATTCACCAACCCCTTAATAGATGGCGTGTAATACTTTTTAATATTAAATTTATTACGAACTAAAAATAAATTAAGGAAAGATAATACGGCTCATCAGCATAGAAGAAAAACGGAAAATACCATTTCTTAGTTACCCAATTTCCGATCTAATGTTCAGATACTATAAATAGGTAAACATTATATACTAGTAGATACTACCTCTAAGTCGGTATATTTTCTTTAACCTTTTCCAGTCCTTGATTATTATTAGGGAAACGGATCTATTTAGTATACGAAAGTAATTTACGAACGACTATAGAATTTCATGAAGTATAGAACCGAGGAAGACACAGCCGATACGTTTTGCTAGATTGTATTTTGAGAGACTAAAACTGGTAAATAATAATATTATATTATAATATTTTTAAAGCATATATGGAAAAGAATTTCCCTCTCGTTGATGGCTCCTTATTAACTATGTAGTCTTCAAAATATTTCCTTTCGTTATTTAATTTAATCGTTGATTTTGGTTACTCTTGAACAATTATAGATTTTTCATACGGGTGCTCTTATCAAATTTTTGTTTAGGTATACTAGATGACCCCGGTGTACTTCGTATAATTTCTCACCGATTAAATCTTTCCAGGATTATGATGAACCTTTCAAGTTCAATAATCCGGCAAAGCCTTTCTCTAGTTTTAGCGAGATAAACGAATATAGCTTAATTTACATCAGGTTCAGACTCAGGTTAGAAAAAATAGTCAATTTTTCTAACCTGATTTAACTAGTAAGCAAATATGGCGTCTTTATAAAAAAATTGACATTTGATAGGGTGGGGAAACAAAATGAATTATCCACTGAATTATCGCCTATAAATTAACGTTTTTATATATTCTTTTAATGATTTGGTATTAAAAAGACAGATTATACAATTCGATTATATTTTAATAAGAAATTGATTATGATGAGTTGATGACTTAGGGAAAATATGAATAATGACAAAAAGTAACTGTTTTATCTTGTTAAGTTATCCTGTAGATCATATTCCGGACGATTTTATTTCTCATGTTGTATAATATAATACCTGCGTATGACTCATCGTTGTTTTTCGAATTTAACGTTAGAACGGTTTAAAAATATTTTTATTAGAGTAAAAAATATAATTATTTGGCAATAAAACAGCAAACCGCGACGGCAGCTTCTCAGCCAAAACGTCAATTTTTAATAGCAGTAATTTAAATTAAATTGGATTGAAATAATACAAGAAATATTTAAAAAAATAACAAGTGAGATTTAACGAAATATATACATGTAATAATGTAGCAAAGAAACAAAATGAATATATGCAATATTTTAATACTGATATTGATTTAACGATAAAGTAACAAAATGGTGATGATAAATCTTATGAACAATCTAGTAATGATTGCTCGAATTTAACAAGAAATAGCTTAGATAACATGCATTAAAGAGTGGGGACTCGCTATTTAACAGGTTTGTAGAAAATGTACAAAAGCGTGACGTCATGTCATGTGACATTTAAACTCAATATCCCCGTAATTTATTGTTTACGTAAAAATATAAACAATTTGTGTTTAATATTTTTCAATAATCTACCAGACACATTGACAAACAAAAATGTTATCATACCTGATTATAGTTTTTATATCTATAACAACAATAGTTAATCATAAAAAAATACTAATAAATCGTAATATATCAAAACATTAAAGGAGGGTCAAAGAGGGTCTTTTAAGCATTTTGCATTAAGAATAAAAGATCAGTTCATTTCAAACCTACCAAATATGTCACAATTTCAAATAATTATCTTATTCATTTATGTCTTTCCTATGACAAACTTACGTGTCATTTAGTTAGTCTGTGATTCTTGACATTGTCAGAATTTTGGATGAAAAATTTATAATTACGTATAGATATGTGGATTTATACATTTACAACATGTAACAGAAATAACGCACATCTGGACAACAACAGAAATCTGGAATATTACTTTTATGTACTAAAACATTGTTTTTGACAGTGCTTCCAGATCTCAAAAGTAAAATTTCAGTGTTTGCAGCTAAAAAAAAAACTACTAAAGTACTGTAATTTTACACAGAACAGCAGATATCAATGTCGTTTACAGTAAAATTACAGGAAAACTTAATTTAAATAATAAAAAAAAACATGCTGGTTTATTTATAAACACAAGTTATTGTAGATTACTCAAGAATACTGTGCTCTGGATTTTTATAATTTTCTGCCGACTGCAATTTCGGAATTTCGATGTAGGGTCTGTTGAGCTAACATATTTCTATGGTTCCAATAGTTCCAAGACGCGTTTAGTTTGTTATTTTAGATAATTTTAAGTTTTTGAAAATTAAAACATATTTATAAACTGTATTTTATTATTACAGTATAGTATAACGAAAAGACATTCATATGCGATGTTCAAAATAAGATAAACTTAAATTGCGTTAAAATTATCATACACTGTCACTGATATGTGTTTATTTGTGATTTATTATTTTTCTATTTGTTTACGAATTACTCTACTCTTTGGCTTATGAATATATGCATCATAGCAGTTAAGAGGATTCTACACTCAAGACATTAAAATAAAGCTCATTCATTCCATATGATGAATTTTATTACAAACAAAGAATTTAGCGCATTTTAAAAAGCATAGTTACATTGACTAAAGTTTATTTTTCGTTTGGTACGGTTGTATTGATTCAGGTGACCATAATTTACTTGATTCCAATAAAATTTTGCAAAAAGAAACTTTCTAATCAGAAGTTGTTGAAATCGCATCTGTATCTGGTTTTAAAGAAACTACTTTAATAGTGTGCGTCAATTATGTTACAGGTTGTAGAAAGATTGGACAAAAAGGCTCTCTTGGTGATCTGCAGGTAACAGGTTGCCCTATTAAAGTGCTCCCCACTACAGTTATACAGATTATAAATATTGCATGTTTTTACTATACCTGATCAGGCGTAGATGGCGTACTTCGGCTATGCGAACTTAGACCTTTCCGACCACTGGCACCGCGGCGTCGCACTTTATTGCTCATAGGTGGTGGCATGAGTTTGTCCTCTTTCTGTTTTCACAAGAAAACAATATGTCAGATAGGGTAATGTCAGCAAAATTGTAATCTTATCATTTAATATTTCATGATTCCATATTTTTATTAGAAATAATACAAAAAAACGTTTATTTTACATATAAGGTTATCCAACTTTTATGGACATGGAACTCTTTTAGAAATCAAATGTTTACATGAAAATATAGAGGGTTATTTATAAAAACTAAACTAATGCCATAAACAATAATGTTTGACCTACGAGTTGTAAATGCTTAAAAAAAATAATTCTTCAAGTATGAATTGTGCTATCGTGACATCTATACTTTTATGTTTTGTGGTAAGTAACTAGGAACAAATCAACTGACGAAATTATACTTTTACGAGAATCCTAAACAGACGTCACAGTGCTCTGTTGCACTTGCATTTATCTTATATTCTTAACTATATTTTATTTAAGCCTTTGAGCGTGGTCCCATACACGTTCATTAACCCGGCTCCTGGAAGAGTAGAGGTACCTTTTCTACTTTTCACTTGAGCAATTCCTGTTTGGCGCGTCCACGTCGCAGGGGTGGGCATCTTACACTCTAGTAGGCCGGAGTGAATAGATGGCGAAGTTCAACAGGGACCCAGTTCTGCGGGGTATAACGCACAACCCATGCTCAGGGTTACGAGTGAAGACCTCAACGGTGGACTGAGCGGAGACAAAGGATGTCGGTACGGTCAATGCAGCGGAAGAGGCGAGCCACAGAGGCTTTGTGTCTGAAACCTGGTGGAGGGCAGCGGTAGCCATCAGTACTGTGGTGAAGCGTAAGAAAATTTGGTTTGGACCGGTTCACTATCAGAATTCTATGGACACTGAGTCTATAGTACCGCGATGTAGAAAGCAACGGGATACTACTACATTAAATTTCCCACGAGAGTTGATGATGAAATGCAAGACAGTTTGGAAGTACGTTTGCCTGACGATCCGCGTAGCGACCGGCGCTCTGAGTTTCCCGGGATTCAAAGTGTGAAATTGGTTACCGGCCGAGGGAACGTAGGTAACCAGGCGACCCCCGGAAAATATGTTACTGGAAGAGAACAAATAAAATTGCGCAAAGATACCCGCATTAGCACATGGAACGTACGTGGACTCCTTGATGAGGGTAAATTACACATTTTAGATCATGAGCTCAAGCGATGCGATTCCGTTATTACTGGTTTAAGCGAGACTCACTGGAAAAGTAGTGGCCACCGAGACTTGGAAAACCATACAATCTATTTTTCAGGAGATGGGACCAGTAGCTACGCAGGAGTGGCCATTACAATTCCCAAACAGTGGACTAAAGCAGTCCTAGGTTACAACCCCGTCAGCAACAGAATCATAACAATGAAACTCGATGCGTCGCCCACCCCATTAAATGTTATCCAGGTATATGCACCGACTAGCACAGCAAAAGACGAAGATGTAGAAAGATTCTACAATGATATTGAATCTTCAATAGCAGCCATACCAAATAGAGAATTATTAATAATTCTTGGCGATTTTAACGCTAAGGTGGGTGATACACGAATGGATGAGGGCTTGACGACTGTTGTAGGTAGCTATGGTCTCGGTAAGAGGAATGATCGAGAAGAGAGATTGCTTCAGTTTGCGGCTGATAACAGCCTCACTATTATGAATACAGTGTTCAAGCATCATCCTAGACGCCTATACACTTGGACGTCCCCTGATGGCAGATACCGAAATCAGATTGACTACATACTTATAAAATCTAGATGGCGAAGTTCAATCACGAACGCACACACACTGCCCGGAGCTGACTGTCAATCTGATCACCAACTCCTAGTATGCAATCTCAAACTCAAGTTGCGAAAGTCCGTACCAGGTAAAGTGAAACAGAGGCTCGAAATAATAGACCAAGCTGCTTTTAAGAACAAACTGGCAAACTGTAGCAATACATGGTCGGAAAGGATAGATGATGATCCGGACTCACTCTGGCAATCTGCAAAAGACCAAATAAAAGAGGCCATGCGGTCGACCCAACCTGCCCGAAAGAAAGGTAAACACCAACATTGGATGTCGGATGATACCTGGCGCCTGGTAGAGCGTCGACGTGAAATGAAGGCAAAGGGTGCATCTGTTCAAGGTTTGAATTCGATGGGTGCTCAAATTCAATCTTCTTCACGCAGAGATCGCAACAACCATCTCAAAAACATTTGCATCGAGTTGGAAAAAAACGCAGAACGCCATGAAACGAGAGATTTATTTAAGAGGATTCGTTGCATAACTCGTCAATTCAAGCCTAGGACATGGACTGTTGAGGATTCCAATGGGGTGACTGTAACGGAAATTAAAGATATAGTAGATGTATGGAGGGAATATTGTGGACAGCTTTTTACTGATAAAACTATAGCATCATCATATAGTACACCTTCGAGAGTTGCGCATAATACTAAGGAACCATCTATACTAAAGAGTGAAGTTCGAGCCGCAATTAATCATCTGAAGAGTAACAAAGCTGTAGGAACTGACAGCATCCCTATAGAAATCTTTAAAACGATGGGCGAATACGGGGTTGAAATGCTACATATTATCTGCAATCGCATCTGGGAGACAGAAAAATGGCCCCAGGATTGGGCACACTCCGTATTTATACCACTGCACAAGAAGGGATCGACAAAGAAATGCAGCAACTACAGACTCATAGCCTTGATTTCACATGCCAGCAAAGTACTCCTACATATTATCAACACCAGGCTACGTGCTTTTCTAGATCCTGAAATAGCCCTGGAGCAGGCAGGATTTGTCAAGGGTAGAGGGACGAGAGAGCAGATATTGATTCTTCGACAAATAATCGAAAAGTCTAGAGAGTTTAACATCCCACTCTATATCTGTTTCGTTGACTTTCGCAAGGCCTTTGACACCGTGGAATGGCATAAGTTATGGGACGTACTCATTCATATGGGAGTACCTAACCACCTAGTCCGTCTCATACGCCGGCTCTACGAAGATGGAACTGCTACAGTGCGAATAGATGACAGCGATTCGAAAAGTTTTCAAACAAAGGCTGGAGTTCGGCAGGGATGCATTCTCTCTCCACTTCTTTTTAACATATACACGGAGTACATTATGAGGATTGTTTTGGAGAAATGGGATAAGGGAGTCTCAGTGGGAGGTCAGAAGACCTCTAACTTGCGGTACGCCGATGATACAACTCTTCTCACGCGTACAAGGGAGGATATGGAGAAACTGTTAACAAACCTAGAGACAATAAGTCTCTCCTACGGACTCGCAATCAACAGAGACAAAACCAAGATGATGATCGTGGACAGAGCTGAACTTAATCAACCTGATATCACCAACATTAGCAACTGTGAAGTTGTGCAAAGTTACGTGTACCTCGGTTCAACGATCACGAACACTGGTGGATGTGAAGATGAGATTCGTAGGAGATGTGCTATCACAAGATCTGCCGTCGACAAACTGAAAAAAGTATGGTGCAACCGTAACATCACAAAATCCACAAAAGTTCGCCTGATGAGAAGCTTAGTCTTCCCAATATTTCTATACGGCGCGGAAACATGGACGGTTCGCTTGAAAGACCGACGTAAAATTGATGCCCTCGAAATGTGGTGTTGGCGACGACTGCTGCGGATCCCTTGGACAGCGTTTCGGACCAACGTTTCGATTTTGGAAGAACTCAAAATCAAAGAGAGATTATCGTCGACTGTACAAATACGAATCCTCAGATATTTTGGACACGTTATTCGAAACCAAAACTCCATGGAAAGGCTCGTTGTCCAGGGACAAGTAGAAGGCAAGCGGTCGCGTGGTCGATCACCTACTCGTTGGACTGATTCCATAAAGGCTGCGACAGGTACCTCCATAAATCAATGTTGTCGCAACGCCGAAAACCGAAACAAGTGGAGAAGCATCGCAAGGGCGACACTATCTGAATTGAATGCATCATCGTGAAACCACGACCGCTCTGCCAAGAGTGAACGACTAGGGAGGAGGATTTTATTTAAGTTTCTAACACAATTCATTCGCCTACATCTCACACTCTCTTTTCTCCTTATTTATTTCCCTTTACCACCATTGGTTTCCTGGAAGAAATTGTTGCAAGCAGTAAGACTGCTTTTTGCGTGTTGTTGTTTGTTGTTTCTTTTTGTAATGTGTATTGTTTAAGTACAACTACAAAGATTATTATTATTGCAGCGTTAAGACGTTTGCAGTGAATACGGCCGCATTGTCCGGTAGGGGAATGAAAAGGTTTGTCTCTCAGACCGATTCCTTTGAAGTCGCGAGCACTTGTTATTTTAGTCTAAACTAAGTCCCAAAATGTAATTTATTTTTCTATATAATTTTGTCATTGTTTTACGAGTAAAAGATCCCGTCAGATTCCGTTTAGATTGAAACTTTTCGATTTAGTTAAACCATTAGCTTATAATTGATAAGAGATTAATAATTCTTTGATTCAAATGGTACTATAGAACTGTCATTACATCTGTTATTATTGGCATTACGTTAACATTAACAAAATTAACGATGGCAGTGCAGGGCAAATCATTACATACTCTTTTTAGTTGTATTGGTACTGATCCTTGAGCCGTTGTAAGCAAAATTCGACTTTATGGTGACAAATCTTTTCTTTCACCTTCTGTTTATGGCAGCACTAGCCGATACATTAAACAAACAATCTTTCAGCTAGTTGCACGAACGTTCTTTGAATTTTTCATTAGTTTAAAGGAGCATTACTCATACAAATTTGACATTCTTTAGAGCTTAAAGGCGTGTTTAACCTTAATGGACGTTTGTGCAACTTACTGTTTATTCAACATTATTTTGTAAATGATCCTCTTCCTTCTTATATCCTAATACAATTATTCATAATGATGAATTATTGGATAAAATTACAATCAACAATAATAATTTTAGATATTAAATTCTGCTATGCTCTAGATTTGCGCCGAGTATTCGCTATTCGGCATCTGTTTCTCTATTTGTATTCAATTATTCAGTGCCGAATATATTTGGTTAAAGAGTTTCTAGTTTTTTGGCTACACGACACGGTGCTAAAAACAAATCGTCTTATGTAAGATTTATCTTATATCATAAGTTAACGAAATCCTATGAAGAATGTGTTAACTAAGGCTTATAAAATAAAACAATTAAACATCAAATCAACACTTGTTTTTAAATCTGTTAACGCAGCAAAACTATGATATGGTAAACCGAATAATTCGGCTGAAAATCCGGTACGGTTAAGGATTATCCGGCGCATCTCTAATGCTCACTATCACTTTAGCTACTCATTGCTCAAAAGTCTGTGAATGACGGTTGACGTTCAATCTTCTTCTTTAAAAAACTTCTCTTAAATAATGAAATTGCCTTCAAACCTGTATATTATCGGCAGAGCCCCAAGTTTTATGTAGTTCACCGTCATCCGATCTCCGTTCTTCTCTATCTCTGGCAGATTTGGGGATATATGCCGACGACCTAGTCGCACCCACTCCCAAGAAATTACTAAAAGCCTCTGTTGTTTTCTTGACGCGCACATTGAGCGAGCCTATGCGTAAGAAACCTTCTTTTTCTGAAAAAAAGACGATTCTATTACATCTTAGAGATACTTACGACCTTTATAATGAGCAATATACAAGCTTTGTAATATATATCAATAGCAATATATATCTTTTAAATTGAACTGAAGGTTAAATTAGATTGACGTGAACAGAATTATATGTAACTAAAGAACGGTTACAAGTTTTATTTATAAGGATATTTATATTAATAACCGTGAAACTATGATATCTAGCAACTTTCACACCCAGTCAGTATCTGCAATACCTGTGATGCACATTACACAAATACACATGTACAAACGGGAACCAATGCCGCAAATATCACCACTCTACACGTGTTTCGCTCCTTCACAAAGGACACTCAGGAGACATACCTTTCAGTGCCAACCACCGAGTGAGCGCTAAAGCTGCAGCAAATCGTTTGTATTCTATACTGAGTAACGGGTATCTAGTACTGAGTAACGAAACGTTACTCGCTTTTTCTTTAATATATAGGAATTTTCTCTGATAATTGATCTAAATAAATCATACCAGACTTATAATTTTATTCTCACGCGGCCCCACATATAGAAGTTCCATCAGGTCATTGTTAAGCCTTTCCTTATTCATATTATCAACCATCATTCGATAGTAATCATTTGCAACAGCAATATCATAAATAGTATTTAATTAATTTTTATATGCTTCGGTCGTCAACGCTACATTCATTATCTTTTAACATAACAATGGAAACCTATAACCTTATGTTGACAAGGATAGTAAGAATTCGCAGGAATTCTGTATATTTTATAAATTTTAATATGATGCCAAAATGTTATCAAATGTTGGCATAGAACATATTTCTATTTCAATCTGTAGATTATAAATTATTTAAATATTGAAAACACTCTTGATTAGACCCAGTTGACCATGTCATCTACATTAATAATATAGTATAATTATTCTCATGTCAACTATGTATCTATTCTCAAAATTATACATAGTTATCTCCACCATCAAATGTGATAATGGAGATCCAAGGCCCTCTTATTGTTTAAAGATACCGTTGAATTTAAAATAATTTTGTTGCATGCAAGTGTTTGTTTTTTAAACATTTTATTTTAGAATTTCTAAAAGATCTGAGAGTATTATTTACGCTATTTTGACTGAGTACACATCTACATTTAGATAACGTAAAATAGCGTTATGGGGGAATATAAAATCCTTAACCTTGTTGATTAAATCCATTGTGTTATCTTTCATTATATTATTTAATTTTATTAATTTATATATCGCACTCCCGGTGCGACACTGTCACTTATGCAAAAATTTAGTTTTTCAGGAGAAGAGTTTTGAACTCTGCCACCTCACAAAACAATGACTTTAGAAGATATAGATGAGATGAATCACACGGAACTATGTATGTTCCGTCACTATCTACAAAAGTAACATTATCGCACCAAGTAAAGGGGGCTTTAGGACAATTATTACATATTTAACTAATTTTTGTATTTTTTGCAAAAGTGACAGTGTCGCACCGGGGGTGCGATATTGGACAACTGCTTAACCATACAAAACATCTGAGGGGCTCTGGATTCATCGTAACATCTGTTTAGAAGCATACTTATGAGAAAAATTGTATATAGAATTACAAATAATTGACTTTGCCTATGTGTTTTACCGTGTGCTAGGGTACGAATCTAGGACTATGAAATCACTTTATGAATTATTACTCGTACGAGTCAACGTGACACCCGAAGGCCTATTCTACGTCACTGAAAACGAAAATTCGTCTATTTTCGAAATGCTAATACAAGTCTAAAGAAACGCATTTTTTGATAATTTATAATGCAATGGAGGTAGAATTAGACACTGCCTCCTGATTCAGATAATTTTCACAAATATGATTTCAACAAAATCGTAAGAACGATTTGAAATATTCTAAATTTTCGTACAAGGAGAAATAGTGTAGGCCCTCAAGTTTAATGTTAATTCGTATGAGTTATACCTGCTGGACTTTCGTGATAAAATCAAGATAATATTTATTGAATTTGTCTCCTTTGGTAACTGTGACAAATAAGGTAACTGTTAAAATCAAAATTTATTATTTGCCCGAAAAAGCTCTAATTTGTTAGTTGGTCCGTAACATATATATTGCTGAACTTTATTAATATTATAAAGAGGAAAGATTTGATTTTTTGTTTCCATCAAATAGGCTCTAAAAGTGCTGAACCAAATTAGATTTTTTTTTCACCTACGGGTAGCTACATCATACGCGGTTAACATAGGCGCGTTGACATTTACGCGTACGAAGTCGCAGGAAAACAGCTAGTATGGTAATAAATATGATTTATTTCTACGTCACATTACAATGAATTTTGTATGGCGTCATTGCTAATAAATTTTTAGGTTATCTGTTTGCTTTATATCCCGAACTACACAACAATGATAATATAACAAATAAAGTTTAAGTAATATTTATAAATTGCTCTTTAATATGCTCCCGAAACATTTGAAGTGGGAAAGGAAAATTGTGAAAGTGCCAAAAAATCACCCTTAACCTTAATAATTTACATAACCGTAGTGCTGAAACGTAAGTCTGACATAGCTTAAATTATTTACATGATAAACAGTTGATTAATTTCTATACTACATAAAGAGAAAACAAAACAATTAGTAACAACGTGTGTCTACGTGTAAAGATTCACTTATATATAAAGACGTTGAGCGCGCCAGACAAAATATTATTCTTTAATGTATTTCAAAGATTTATATCAAATATGATATGTATAGAAAACTACTAGACAACCTGTTCAGTAATATAAAATTACTCGCTAAGGTGTTGTGTTCACACAACACATCATTTACAGCCGGTTTCTGAATTGAGAAGTTAATTACGTTTGAGACCGTACTTACACTTCACTCAAACAGGTATTTCGTTTCTGATTTTAATGTTTTTAATGATCAGTTGCATGGATTTTTATAAAACTAGGCTTTTATAACTTATGCAAAGTAAAAAAAAAAAAAACTCAAGTTATTGAGAATAATCAGTAGAGATTTTTACTTTTCTCAGTTCAGAAACAGGCTGTTAGTCGACTGTTTTCCCGTCTTGCTTATGAAGCCGATGTGCGATCATACTGTGTCAAAATTTTATTTATGAACAGCTTTTCTAGTAGTGTATTTCTAGTGTATGTACATAGAAGTATTTGATTTGAGTGTTAGATATCTATAGTAACACGACCGCCCTACACGAACGACCCGGGCTATGCTCGCTCAGTATTAACGTAAATAATATATTGTCTGCGTAGTTTATGTCAGTACATTGTCTTGGCATGAGTTCGATATATCAAAACGTATCTGGAAACCGATACGAGTTACAATATCATATCGTGTTGATAACTCAAACTATTTATGCATTTTCTCATAACTAAATACAAACGCAAATCTAAAAACCCGATTCGTATCTCAAAACCTATTACCTTGATATTCGCTCTTTCTCTTTTATATTTATTTAATGTGAACAATCTTCTTCTTAATAAAGGAAAACCAAAATGTCTAAAATTTGAATTGCCTAATGTTAAACAAGTACATATATAAATGTGATAAGAAAATGGACCTTGTAGAAACCAAAGTATTTTTAGGGTTACACTAGATTTTAAACTTCAGTGGTGCCCACATATTGATAAATTGCCGAATACACTTAACGCTGCAGCATAATTATGTCGTAATGCAGATACGTAGGTTAACTGAGTGAGTAAAGATACTGCCAGATTAGTATACTTCACTTACTTTCATAGTGTTAATGTCTTACGGAATATTGTTAACAACATACAAACGACTTTTGGCTTCAGTAAAGAGCCTCTAGATTAATTTAAAATCTAGGATTAGGGACTCCTTAAGGGGAAATAAATTAAAGTTATTGATATAGTGACTGTTGTTTCTCAATACATATACAAGAACTTAATGAACGTTCGCAAAAATATTAGTTTTTTTTTTATAATAAGATATGTACATAAGTTTAAACTAGAAATAAAAATAGATTAACCGTGCCTATCACGCAAAAAGTTATTAATTTATTCAAGAGTCTTTGTGTGGGCTTCTACATAAGGTCCCAAGCAAAATACAACAATTAGATATCATCTAGTTTAAATCTACTATTAAAAAATGCTTATTGAAAAAGCTTATTATAAGGTATCTGGTTATATAACATATAAGAATGCTTGGACTTAAGATGGTCCAGCAACTGGTTTAGTCAATTCTTCTAAAGTATATCTCAAAATTATCTTATTGCCATTATTAAATTATTATTATTATAAGATCATAGATTTTTTCAATATTTATAATTGACTGGTAATGACATGGTTTTGTGTATGTTGTTGTTATTCCCATTAGAGCTGGTGAGTTTGTCGCTCGTTCTTCTTATCAGCCAAAATTCGTCCTGAACGTAGGGGAAAAAAATGACGGACGAATGAAATGATTTTTAAGAAGTCTATTTGCATAAAAATTATTTTGACTTGACTCGACGTGGGGCAAAAAGAGATGAAGCGAATATCATATCCACTATCGGCCTGGATAGAAACGAACGCTCGAATTCAACAAAATAACGTATATATTAGAGATCGGCCGAGTACTCGGCGGGTTTTTTGATACAAGTACTCGGTCGAGTAACTCGATATGAATGCCGAGTATACTTTTTTTAAGAAAAGCAATATATTTCGGTAGATATAATTAAAACAACAGTGTTAATCAAAAAGTATTTATTACTACTTTCTACTAGGAATTTGGTATCTGGATTTTAAGATATTCATTAATCTTTGGAACCCATTATTTTCCAACATAGATATCGATTGGTTATCTAAAGCGATCATATCTGCTACAGCTTTGTGATTTTTTTAGCACACAAATCAGTTATGTCCCGTTTTGTACTAAATGATTCGATAAGGATTTGCTGTATTTTCATTGCATTCGATTGCGATGACGAAGTTGATGCTACTGGCTCACGATTTTGGGATATTTCCAAATCTTTAAACTCTCCCGCATGTTTTATTTTAACATGGTTTAACATTGCCGTCGTAGAAGCCTTACTATCAAGCGACTGGTAGTTGAAAGGTGCAGGCTGGGTGAGTCTTGTGGGTGTATCATGTCGAGCCGGCCTTTCGACCGGCACGAACCTGTTTGTACTTGTTTACGTGCGCGAAATGGGAATTTAATAAAATCGAGTTACTCGGCCGAGTACTCGGTTGAAAAAAAAATTGAGCCGAGTAAAACTCGATACTCGTTACTCGACAAAATTGTTACTCGGCGCATCTCTAGTATATATTATAGCAGTGAGTTCTATTTAATAATTTTAGCTAAGTAGCCAAGACACTATATTCGCCTCTTCTTTTTTTTTATTTAGGCAAAGGTCCGCGAAGCAAAAGACATGAAGCGAATATCACGTGCACATAACCAGTTTTGATATATCGAAAAGTAGTCAACAACTATTCCTTGATATCGATATATGAAAACGATTTTCAATATCTATATCTAAACCGGATATCGGTTGTGTAACGGTAATGCAGAATAATGAAAAAGCCCATATCTACTATGTACCGATTAAACTTAGTCTGACACGTTCAATGTCTGTCGATATAAACAAACATCAATGATTGCATACATTAAATGTTTTAAGCATGTACGATAGAAAAAAAAGGCATTATTATAAAATTTGGCACTATAACTTTGGCAAAAAGTTATTAGAGGATAAAATTTAAAATATGCTCTTTTTTATTCACGTGAGGTAGTATATTATTGTACCGTTTATATTTATACGTTTATTTATTTTTTAATGTAACATATAGTCTGTTCTTATGGCTGGCAAAAAACCGCCAGTGCCAAAGACAATATGTAAGCGTTATACACATCGCTTCCCATCGCTATCCATAGAACTACCTCTGTATCATTTCCGCGGAGTAAGTACTGTTTTGTCGTACGGGACGCTGTAGATCGTTAACCATGGACGTACACAGCATTTTCTTAGGGGTGGGGCAAAAGTAAGGAAATTATAACGATAAATATTAGAAATTCAAAATGCTCATTAACGATAACGTATTGGGTATTGTATTGTATAATAACCTTTAAGGATTCTGACCAATCCAGTTATTTATTTTATTGCATTAAATTAGGGTAAATTAGTGATGTATATTTGTAGTGTAGTTACAAATTGTCTACGATAGGCGTTAGTATTTTGAAGAATTGGCAAAAAAATGTCAAATATTGTATCGCAATTCAGTGAGATTTATTTCAGTAGATTTTTTTAAAGCTACCTCAATTAATATTATGATGTTGACCTTAATAAATAAATAGTTCACATTTAATGTATGGCAACCATTTTTGTTTTTTAATACGTGAAAGTGACAACGCTGTTATAACACCGTGCTTTTGTCTTACTTGACATAGTACTTAGACTATTTGGAGTAATCCTAATAACTGGAGGAGAATTTATGGTCCTTCGCAAATCGAAATTGTCCGCTTCTGCAATACAATTATAGAGGAAAAGAATATAATACAATATGTTTCACTGTATGACGAAAAAACTATTACAGTGTTAATAAACAAGGATTAGCGTTGGAGTTAATTTACTTAGTATAAGTCATTATTTACTTAGTTTTAGTCAAAATACTTAGCAAAGGCTAACCTATTACGAGGTTCTACGGGAGTAGTATTTTCTCCTAGAAGGTAGTTTACTCTCTGTATGAATTTGGACTAATACTAAAATTGCAATTTTAGCGTAAATTTACTCTGACGTTAAACCTTGTTTAGTGATAATACTGTTAGATGATATCGGTTGCAATATTCTTATTATTAGCTCTAGTTAATATGGCGTATCGTAAAACATTAGTTTGTGCAGAGAAAACCCGAAATTATTGCTTCAATATCAGAAGGAATAAATGAGACGTCAGGAATGAGGATCACCCAATAATTGAATCATTCTAATTGGTCAATATTTACCACGCTTCGAAATTCAACCTTCTATGTAGGAACATCAATGAGTCATATTAGTTGTATGTAATTGTAGTTAAAGCGGTTATTGTAGCCAAATTTTTATGAAAACATATTTGTACTTTAGCTTTACCTTGAATGTAATACGTAACGTTATTGGTTAAAAAAATCTTTCACAGAAACATATAAAATTAAAGAAAGGTAAGAACTTTCTGTCGCATACTTACGTACATTCTCTCTTCCATGTTAAAGTATGACATAATAGTCAGTGTCAAATCTATCAAATGTAAAATACAGCCAAGAAAACAAAATAAAAAAGTAGTTGTCTAAAGAGTAATAACAGACGGGAAATTATACTATTCGCCAAACGATGGTGATCACGGTTCTTATCGATTTAGACAAGCAGGAAAAATATTATATACTGATAAGACCGCCGATTGAAACACATAGGTTTTAATTGTTTTTTGCTTTCTCTGTATTTAAAGTAGTAGAGTTATTTATGTATCATATCGCTTCTTAAAATAATGAGAAATTAAAAAAGCTATTCAATAGATGGATATACTAAAGCTATTATTCTCAACGGAAGCAGGAACACCAAAATGGAGAAATACAGTATACATCTTCATTCCTTTACCCGTAACATATCAAATAATTAGAAGCTATTCAAAAAAGTTTAAATTGAAAAAACAAAAGGGTTGTCCAGTATTCCCAACTCAATCTATAACATTGTTTTGAATATATTTTATTCAAACTAACTCATCCCGAAGCAAAAACTACAAAAAAGTATGGATAGCAAAACAACGTTTAATATTATTATTACAGAAAGATTTTTATTTTAATTTATTTTGCTCTTAAATTAATGAAATGATTTGACTATCTCATTTATTTCAATACAGGTATTGGTTAATGTTCAATTTTTCTTGATATATTAACGTCTTGGCCTAACATTTGACACTGACTACAGAAGAAAATAAAATTGAAAGTTGTAATATGAAAACAATTCATACTTCTAAAACATCCTGGTGATAGAGATGTGTCAATGTGTACCAAATATTGACGAGGTTTTCTACCAGACCAGTCGCGTACATTGGGGTCTGCATCTGAAATAGAAATGAGTTTAAATGAGCTATATTCACATAATCTTTTATACTGTTGCGGATGCGGCTATGGATGCGATGCAAATTTAGAATATACGTAGCGTAACTATTTAAAATTGATAATTATTTTATTTTTGCATCTGTAAGTTAAATAAGCTTTCATAATTTAACATATGCAATCTCCATACATAATCTAGGTTAATATATATTCTTAATATATATATATACTATCAGTGTACTAAAATAAACACAAAGAAAACGTTCAAACGACGGGACGAATCGAGTAGTATAGTAGAGGCTCGCTAACAGCCGGTTCCTGAATTGAGAAGTTTAAGTAACTTCAAATTCTTAATGCAGAAATGATCTTGAGGAATTCAACAATTAAGGCCCTTTGTACCTCCGCTTCCCATAAAAAATACGCATAGAGGGTAAAGTCGCTCTCTTGATTTCATACATTTTTAATCACAGAAAAAAAATTGTTATATTTTTTCGAGTTTTTACATTATATGTATTGATATAATGTAAAAATTTTATGTGTAGATTTTTGTGTAGTTAAGATGAAATATATAATCGTAAAATTAATATTATTATTAAAGTCATCTTTGCCATTTTTTTCTATCAAAAAGCTTTAGATATATAAGTATATTTTTTACCTATAGTTGTGGTGATTTGCAAGTTATCAATGTTGGCGCTTAATCTCGTATTAAATACATTTTTAACTGATCACTAGATGTAGAATAACCTATCCTTAGATGCGAAAACCTAATTTTTCAAAGAATAATAAGATGCAAATTCAAGTCATAAAGTCATTTGTACGCCGTCTGTTAGAATCAGCTCCAGTTCTTTCTAAACAAAATAGCATAATTTACAACAACAAGAAAAGCATGTTGTGTTGTTCTCTTTTAGTAAAGCTGCTCTTGGCTAGATGGCGCTCAATATTTTCCAAAGCACGTTTCTGGTTCTTTCATTTTAGTACTGTACTACATTGTAGCTTTCTAGAACAACCGATTAAGTAGTTCAAGTGTTGAAGTTTGCTTTTCAGATATACCTATATGGATTCTTTTAAATCCGAATTTATACTATCAATATTTTTTTACTATTTAATGTATAATTTTGTCGTCGATCTGCGTGTTGCGGTGCTATTTATTCTGTTATAAATCAGTCTCGAACTCGACATCGAGCTCAGCGTTGTCATAGCATAGAGGTTTAATCAAATAAAACTTACTTCAAAAGCAATAATTTATAAAATAATATATTTTAAAAATACACTTTTATATGTTGAAAAAAGTTACCACAAGAAAGATTTATAGCGCCATCGTCGCGGAAATGTAGAGTTTCTAAGCACGGATACTTAGAAACTCTTAGGCTTAGGCTGTCGTATTATGATAACGCAAGTGGGCAAACTGTATTATATAGCATGAAACATGCTCCTAGCCAGGTTTTGATGAAAAACACAGAATTGATGAAATCTAAATATTATATTTACCATATACTTCAACTAGCAACCTGTAGACATTTTCATGTCGGAACTGCATTGCAATGTGTAATGGTGTGTATCCCTGTAACAATAAAGTGTGAATGAAAAACAAATACGTCTGCGACGTTCCAATGTTTCGCCATTTATGAGATCCCGGCTTCGATTCCCGGTTGAGTCAATATACAAATTTGAACTTGATGAACTTTTCCATATTAGGTGGCAATTGTTTCAGATACTCAATATCACGAGGGCATATTGTTTTTTTTTTTAATATAAATATTAGACAACATCGTATACATTGCTCAGATTCCATGATAAGTACTAAAGCCCCCGCATTATGGAGTATCTGAGACAACAAACGTACTACAACACACACACGAGACAATATTAAAAAGTCCATTTCCTACATTGACCCGAACGAGAATCGAACCCGGCCTCACACGGTGATACCTTAAGACCGGCGTGCGAACCAATCGGCTACGGAGGTCATCCCGGAAATTGAGCAATGTAAGTATAAAATGTGGTCGAATATTTATTTTTATATAATGAATTTAGAGACAGAATAGATACTAAGTATAATCAGTATCGTATAATAATTTAGAAGTCGATTTTTATGTGGATGACATTTATTTATTATAGTCAAAGTAAGTTGGTACAAACTTAAGTTTCATTAAAATTAAAATAGGTTATTTTTTTGTAACAAGTAACAATATCATAGCCGTTTCTCAACTGTGAAAGTATGTAAAACAACAAAAAGGTTACAAAGTAGGCTTCTATAGAAGTTTTAACGTAGAGTGGATCAGGGTCCGTCTGACATCTGCTCCCTTCGCAATTTATAATATAACGGTACGCGATTGTAATATTTATAGTGAATATTATTCCGAATAGATATTAAATTTCGTTGGATAATATTGAATATATCGAAGCGACAGCTGTTTTTCTCGAAGATAATAAAGAGGAAACTCACAAAGATTTTCTATTTAACCACCGTGAAAATAATAGAAATAGTTAAGTGAGTTTTTGTATATAGATATTTATTCCTATTTGTATCTTCTTTGGTATCTTCATTTATTATCATTGTTATGTACCACCACAGATGGCAGACTAATGATGAATTCAGATTTTTTTAAGACTTTAAGCGACGTTAGCCTAAATAAAGGATTTTTGCATTTGATTTAATAATATCCCTATTACAATGTTATATTCTTAACGAAAAGTGTAACACTGTTAATATTGATCTATTTCACTAATATAAAAAAAAATATATTATTGAGTATTTTGATCCACTTCTTACGACAAAATTCAGAGATTAATCTCTGAATTTTTGTAACTTTTGAAGTTAATAACATTGAACGACGGACATCAGAGTCTTAGTAATAGGCTCCCGTTTTACCCTTTGGGTACGGAACCCTAAAAACGATCAACCTTAATGGAAAGGCATTAAATAAACACCAACAAATCTCGTGTGTTCATAAGGTTTGAGAGAAACTTTTGACTATATAAATGAAATGAAATAAAATGATACTGACTGTTATTTTTTTTACCGATTTTGAATTTGCAAATTCATTTGATTATATTGTCCCGCGATGGAGGGAACGAAACAATTACGTGCAACTTTCGCTATTTAAGGCGGGAAACAACCGATGTAGATTTTCCGCGAGCTTAAAAGTTTTCCTGTAAGCCGTAACTTCGTTTATTACACAATACAGCGGTACAAAGAGACAAGTTCTCTGCAAGATCGCCAAAGGAGTGGTCGGCCACGCTCTGTGAAGACGTCGGCAAACATCAAAATCATCCGAGAGCGACTTCGCCGAAATTCATGTCGCACTTAGAAGAAACTCGCTCTGCAGACTAATATTTCGCGCGTTTCAGTGAACAGAATATTGAAATATGAACGTAAGGAAATGCCTATAGCCGTAGAAGAGTTCACTTTTTTAAACGATCGTCTTCGTAAGTTACGACGCGAACGTTGTCCATTACCTGCTGAGGAGACCATCATGTCTCCTCAGACATGATGGTCGTAGGAAGATACTTTTCACCGACGTGAATATTTTTACTATCGAAGAAAAGTTCAACCAACAAAACAAAGTGCAAAACGCTGAAAGTAGCATGGATGTCCCAGTTTCTGCACGGAATATCTCGCGCACTCATCATCCGGCTAGTGTGATAGTATGGTAGGGAGTTTCGTATGAAGGTGTCACTCCGCTTCCTTTCTGCCGACAAGGTGTCAAGGTGAATGCCAAGAATTATCTGAGTGACATTTTAGAACCCTGGTGAAACCCTTGTCTGATACGTTATTTCACAATAAGGATTGGGTTTTTCGGCAAGACTTGGCAAGACATCCTATAAGGCAAAAGCACCCAAGCTTGGTTGAGGGAGAATGTGCCGGTCTTCATCGTGGCGGACGAGTGGCCCTCCTCCAGCCCCGACCTCAACCCGCTGGATTATTCTTTATGAACTGAATTAGAGCTAAGAGCCTGCCAAGAGTCCCACCCAAACTTGGAGTCACTGAAGCGAACCCTTGTTTGAGAAGCAAAGCGAATTCCACTAGAAAAGATTCGTGCCGCCATTGATGATCAAAACGTCTAAGGGCCTGTATTAAAAATGAAGGCGGTCATTTCAAATAAAATATATATTATATTGTTGATTATTATCTATTTAAAGGTTACTGAAAATTTTAGAAATATAAGTTAACTATTAAAAAAGTTACGCAACTTTTCTTTAGTCTCAAAACTTAGGAACACATGAGGTACGTCTAGCGTATGTGCTCCAATGAATAAACTTTAAAGCTATTAACACGATCACCTATTTCTGGATTACTGTCATAATCATAACAGCGGCACACTAATACGTCTTCAATTCATATATTCAATAAAAAAACCTCAATCATTTTAGACATAAAATGTATCTTTTGTTCATTAACCGGATCACCCACCCTAACATTAATCGCTTCCGTTGAATCCACAAGTAGTCACTTCACTAGTACTATAATAAAATGTCGTGAAACTTACCCCATTCTGATTCGTCGAACGACGCCACGACAGCACATGAAAAAGTGTAATGACACTTTTAACGATACCGTTAACGGGCCAAAATAACTGGCAGCAAGTAAATTTGATTGAACATTAACTCTAGGTAACAATAAACTTGAATTTGACTCCAGATGTAAACACGTCATGAAACGTTAATACCGGTTTAAGCCGATTGGTGGGTATTGTGAACGTTTCTGGTTCGGGGTTAATATTATATATTAGTTTTATACAATTAAATATGTATATAAATATCATTAAAATTATCATAAATACATTAGGTACAGTTTACATGAATTGTTTAAAGTTAAGCTTCATTTAAAAGTAACCAACCTAACAAAAAATTATAGGCCAGTTGAATTAGATTACTTTTTCATTTTATTAAAATATACAAATAAGCTTTTTTTTAACAAGGAAATACGTAACTACAGCTTAAGTTAAAAATACAGAAAGACACCAACAAAACAGTGCCTTAAAAGAAAAATCGACTACTTATCTGGTAATCTACACTTAATAGAATCAATCAAGTGTCATGTTGTCATAACTCTATAACTAGATAAATGTTGACGTAATTGACTCACCGAACGTTCGTTAACTAAATGACGTGCCACTCCAGCTAACAATTTAACCAGATTTTCATCACCTCGCTTACAAGCCCAATGCATCGCGGTCTGAAATACAAGTAAATTGCTATAGATATTATTACTCAAAACAATGCATCAATAAACGGTGATAAAATCAACATCGTTCGTCAGTAAATTAGCGGTAAAGCAAATAAAAGTTTCTATTTAATTGGCAAATACGCTAACTTATGTACGAGGTCGAAATGAATTTTTACGCGGGTAACGAATGGTTAATTAAAGTTGAGGAGTTGGGCACGCTACGTCACAACTCTGTAGAAAATGTATATAGGACCAAAGGAACATTTTAACTTAATGATATCGCCATAATTTATTGATTACGCAAAAAATAACAATACGTGTTTAATATTTTTTAGGAAAAAAATAGTCATTATCACTATTACTATACATTTTTTTTCTACAAGCATCAGTCATTTAAGCTGGACACTGTTGCGGCCCGCTCAGCTTGTGGCACAAGAGTTAATATGGGTGTAGACAGTAAACGAAAATAAATATTTTATAATCATATTTTTTAAAATATTTATGTTAGGTATATTTCATGTATATCTATAAAATTAAAATATATTTAAACAAAGATGTCTTCATGTTTATGTTAACATGTTAACTGGTTGGATCAATATGAGATGATTAAACAAACTGATTATAATCAATACATTTATTCCTTTCATAAGTTTAACGGAATGGTATACGGATTGATCGCAAAAATATATGAAGCTGAATGTAAGAGATCGATATAGAGTTGTTGTGGGCGGCGAATATGACGCCGAGTACAGAGACAATACGAGTTATACGGCTGGTTTCTGAATCTGAGAAAAGTGCAAAATCTGAATTGATTACTTTCAATGACTTAAGTTTTTTACTTTTCACATGGCGACAAGGCCTAGTTTTATCAAACTACTATCAACTGATCATTAAAATAAAACACAAACGAAAACCTGTTTATGTGATATTTGAGATGGTCTAAGTACGATTTGAGATGTGCTTAACTTTAAATTCTCAATTCAGAAACCTGTTGTTAATCTCTTTCACATAATATTTCTTCGAATAAACGAAAAAGGGCTTTTTATGAAACAGCTAAAAATACGGCTGAATAATATCATAATTGTTAACCGTAGGGTTTCTAACCAATTAATTCAGACGACTTAAACCCCTTAGTCCCCCCTCTATCGGAGGTTTCTGCGCAGGCGCCGTGTGAAATTTAAGTTTTTATATAAATCGCATCGCTATCGAATCGCAGCATTTGTAATAACAAACATTTGCCTAACTATAATATACTTTTTTGTAATTTTTACGTCGAGGAAATAATCCATTAGGCGCTACCCTTGCTGACTGTCAAGCGTCAGGGGGTGTCTTAAAAGTCCAAGAAACAATTACATTTTATAAAGTTTCTAGATAAATCTTGAGTTTTTACTACTTAAAACTAAGGTTTGCCGGGCGGGCTATACACGGGCTATTACAGTAAAATCTATACCGATCATACAAAAACACAATAATAATAAAATACCTAGTAAAAACATAGAACACAACAAAGCACTCATAGAAATAAACAAAATAACCTTAGAAAACAAAATTGAAATTGGCAGCGTGCGATCACATTCTAATTTCGAAATTGATGCCAAATTATGAAGCAAAATATTCAAAAATCTAAAACACGATACCACCACGGAAAGTTTAGTAGGATGAGAAACAAATTACTTGATTGCCCACCTTTTATTTTTATATATGTAAAACACTTTGATGGACAATATAATGCTGAAATTATAGCTCTTTATAATCGGAACGTATTAGAATGATTTGCATCCAGATTAAAGATTATATTTTAGTGGAGGTAGGTGTTATTAGTGTAGTTATACGAATTAACTTGCTATCACCGGTGGTCATTTTAATTTTAAAACATTATGGTAACCAAATCATAATTCGATGGAGCGGGTGTATAGAGAAAAAAGAATAAAGTAAACGACTGAGGCAACATTTTAGTTTGTTGTAGAGTCGTAGATTGTTTTGAATGTAGTGGGTGATATTTCTATTTAAAACTAAATCAAGGTGCATTTCTTTGTGATAAAAATATATGAATGTTAAAAGTGACACTATTTACTTTCCAGTAAACTTTGTAGTTACTAGTTTTTGCTGTGCGCCTTCACCCGCATAGTACCTATTTACAGTCGAAAGCACGTTAGGTTATATAGAGCAGTGAAAATAGATTGGATTTATAACCTATAAATATTTTTAGTATATGTAGTTCAAAATAGTTAGCGAAATAGTACTTTGTGGCAACCTCGAGTGCTATAAAAAAAAAATGTAGTCAGTGTTCATCAGTCATAACCAGTGGTCGGAATTAGGTAGAGTTATTCATGTACTTACACTGATTTCATACAGCGAAAGAATAAAGTGGATATGCCTCAAATCCCGAGATTAATTTTAAAGAGCAGAAAAAAATCCCATGATTTTTTAAATAAAAAGTTATTTACTTTTACACAATTTAAACTACTGCACGCACGACGTTGCCAAACTAACATCAATGAAAGAAAGTAAGTAGAAATAAAGAAATCGCGGGAAGGTCCACATTAGTATCAACATTTCGACGCATCATTTAAATAGTAAAATTAAACTTTTTGAATAAGTGTAGTGGTATCGGAGGTTACAATTTTTTTAAGTTGATATAAAAACTTATTATTTATCGCACGTTAAGAAAAAATCATAACCTAGAAGACTAATAACGCAGGAATTAACTGTCCTCCGTACACAGGACGTGGTTAAGTCAGCAGTAAAATCTTGGGGGTAATATATATTGCTCTATCGGAGGGGTACGAGTTACGTAGCAATCGTCGTATGTACAAGGTGTAGGCGTGATCATCGCTGATTCAGTCTGGTAGTTAGTGGCGGGCGGTCCTAGGTTCGACGTCGACGTCCGGAGAAATATTGGCCCCCGGGGAAACGCTGTTAATTTGCGGCACACGTTGGCTCCACTGCGATTTTCCTACCTACATATGGGAATATACTGAACGTTTGAGCTACAATTTATGCAGTGTCTATTGATGAAAACGGTTACTCGAAATTGGAACGTATAATGGTGTTACCGCTACGTTATTGCCGATGACCTGTACTATAAATATGCGAATGCTGATAAAATAGGTGATAAATGTATACTCACATACTGTTCCATCGTACGCCCCACCGACATCAGCAAACAAGCACATGGAAGGAAATACACAATTCATTTTTAAATCATAACATTATCATTAAAGTCCTCAACTATATGTCATGTTTAAATAAATATAATGGTTTTCTTAATCGCTTTTAGAGACTAACCATAAAAGAGAAATAAAACTATGAATATAAATGTAGAAACGAAAACCTCATAAGACCCTATGTGGATGTTCTTTAAAAAAGAAATCTAATTAAGGCGACGTTTCCGGGTTGGCTGGCAACCGAATTACTAATTTATCGTTGGCTAAGCTAATAAATTTCAAACAGGATTACGTATTCCACGGACAAAGTAAAGCTTTATAATTTGCTCAGTATAAATCTCACGCCCCTATCACATAAGTGAATGTGTCGGCTGAGATAGATTCAAGATATTAAATGTCACTCTTATTTAATTACTATTTTTATTATTTAATTACAGGTCTATAAAATTCAATTTTCGACCACTCCGGGAAATTGTATAAGACCGTTCTATTTTAACGGTTCAAAATGTTATGTCTTTTTTATTAACTGCACATACTCTATTTACCTGTACATACTCTATTCATCGACATAAGTGTAACCGCAGAAATAAAAATGTAAGGGTTAGTTGCACCAACTTACTTTAACAATAACAAACATGTTAAAGTACCAGTTAGTCAAATATATAAGTTGTGCCATTTGGTATTCGGTTAGATGACGTCATTAACTGTTAACTAAAACCGCTCAAACTTCGCTGATTAACCTCGGTTCATAGTTTAAGATCCGAATTTGATAACATTCTTTGTTTCTACATTTAAGTTGAAATTGATTGCTTATTGAAAATAACATTTTATGAGTAAACTCAGTGGTTATTTTATTATAGAAAATGATTTACGATATTATTCTAGCATTATTTTCCCCATAAGAAATTAGTTGAATAATATTCTACTATATATTCCAAGACATGAAGCCTAGAAAGGCAATAACATTTTACAAAAAGTTTTAGGAATTTTATTTTATTTTTTTTAGTAGATCCACGGTTGCATATCGTTTATCAGATATCGTTACATACATCAGATAACCAATTGCAGATCCACACAGTAAGCTATTGATTACCGTTTTCATTGTTAAATTCTTTTTTGTAAAATACGTAATATCTTAATGTCACGATTATTGTAAAGCTGCATTAAGAAAAAAATATACTAAAAAAATACTGTGGATATGTTAACTACTGGAGGGCAATATGTGACGCAAAGATGACAATGCCAGTGTCATAGGTTCATTGGTAATGAATAACAACACATATTTATGTGTATTTCACGTAGGTATATATTATATGACGTAAAAATATTTAAAATATAAATACCTGCTTAAAAAAATATTTTTGTAAATGCAAAAATTGAAAATAAAGCAACATAGGGCTGGGTACGAACATTATTGTTGTTAACGACATGTATTTATGTAATTTACTTTATGTACCTAGTACCTATATATTTCCTTTGGTTGTAGGATAGGTACAGTGTTCTTTATATGACAAAAGACAGGAACAAATTCAATACGAGACTTTCGTTTGTAAGCATTTTTAATTGGTTTCGCTTGTTCGATGTTAATATCTTACTACAGATATAAAATTAAGAAATTGTATGTTCTTTTACCATTTTTATTGAAAACTAGAGGACCCGGATTACGGCATACGTTACAAAACCAAAATAAGCTAAACCGGCCCAGCCGTCCCCGAGTTTAAGCGAGATCAGCGAACTGCAATTGATTAATAGATAGATTTATATACTAAATACAACGCATCTATATTATAGTGTGTTTAGTAAATTATGACATCTACCCACAGATATTGAATTTTTAAAATTAATTTTCTTGCAACGCCACTGATATTTTTACTACGGTTAATTTCAATAGTGCAATAGCACAAGAATAGAAATTATATCATGAATAAAACAAATAAAAAATAATAAACATACTACCTACTTGAAAGGTCAAATATTTTATTTAACAATTCGATAATATATATATATTTTACTCATGTTTCTTTCAACGCCATTGATATTTTTACTGAGCTTAATTCCAATATTGCAGTAGCACAAAAACAATGAGTTTACATAAGCAATTTCTACATTAACATAGACATGAAATTTAATATCATGAATTATTAAGTGACGTTTACCAGCGTTTACCTTGTTTCAAATTGTTATATCTACTCGACGCATAGAAGGCTTAAGATATGTGATGTGTACTAGCAATATCCGCTAGTAACACGTATTGATTGCGTTTGCATGTATGTCAATTAGGATGTACGAAACGATGTGTCTTCAGATTTGGTAATTAACGTCTTGTTGCTGCTTGTCTATATAATCACGTACTCAGCAAGACCGATACGTCAATATCAAATGTACTTACTACATAATAAGATTTGTAACTAATATGAAAAAGAAAAATGCAACTTTCTTCCTCGGAGTAGCTAGATGGCGTAGTGGATAAGCGCCGTGGACCGCGATGGCTTTGTTAGACAACTTTGGTTGGGGTCGGTCACGGTATGGGTGACCCAAAAAAATATGAAAATATCATCTCAAGCAACTCCGTGCTTCGGAAGGCACGTTAAGCCGTTGGTCCTGGCTGCATTTGCAGTCGCATCCTCCTTAACCATCCATAGGGGAGGTCTGAGTTCCTGCAGTGGGGACGTAAAAGGGCATTCATCATTCAAAACATTCATCATCATCTTCAAAGGTGACAGATATGTAATAATATTAGACTTTAGGTAGAAAGTACAATGGCAAAATGCAAGAAGTTGAGATTATAACATAAACATTTCATTCTAAACAATTCATTCGCTTGTTATGTAATATATAATGTCTCAATCAATTAACTAATGAAATATATCTTATAAGATATTATCAAATCGTTTTAACTGTTTGTATTAAACAATTTTAAAGTCAAATCGAAGAGTGAGAACCATATAAAACAGATGAGGGGATATTTTTCTTAGTCGTATCTTACACTGTATTAACATTGTTGCAGAACTGTCACTACAACAATTGACTAATATTAACAGCACTGTCGGTTAATTTTTGTATAAAAGAAACAAGATATAAAACAAATTTTTTACTTACACCCTGTTAAGCGCCGTGTCATGGAGTCCGGAAACAATATGAAATGAATAATAATAAATTGTCAAAATATCACACACAAATTAGAATAATTAAACATTTCAGCGACTATAAATTAAATCTATGTATTTTATTTCAACTAACGACTAAGGTATCATTTATGTTTACAAATGAAAGGTATGGGTAATTGCAATTTTTAAATAAAGGAAGTTCAAATTTACAGTTCAAATTTAATAATATATTATGAAGCTATGATATGAATGATGTAGTTGTAAATTTGAAATTTTATCTTACCGTAAACGGATCCTGAAACAAAAAAAAAATTGAATTAGCTTCATTTTTATAGCCATAAAAGTAACAAATAACGAGTTAATATAACACTATTTAAAAATGGTTACAGAAAAACTATAGCAGTACGTATCTTTTTTAGGGTACCGTATCCAAAGGGAACACGGAGTTCTTCATCTCATAATTCAGGGGAAAATTATGGGGAAACGCAGTGAAGGCAACGTTCCTGGCTTAAGAATTTAAGGGATTGGTTAGGGCGACACTACATCCCTGTTCGAGCAGCAGCCTCAAAAATAAAGATAGCCATGATGCTCTCCAATCTCTCATGTTAGTGGCATATCAAAAAGAAGATCCAAAGGGTAAAACGGAAACCCTATAACTAAGACATCGCTGTCTGTCTATTTGTCACCAGACTTATCATGAATCGTGAAAGTTATACAGTTGAAATTTTCACAGATGATGTATTTTTGTTGCCGTTTCAGCAACAATTACTAAAATTCAGATTAAAATAAATATCTAAACGGGCTCACACTTGATTTTTTTGCTTGTTTTTACTCGATATTGATAACGACAACAGGTAGGCGCTTGAAAAATTTACAGAATACATATTCAAATGGTAACTTTAAAACATATAATTAAATTAAAATAATATTCATTGGGGGCTCCCATACAAAAAACCCTTCGTGTACGAGTCCGACTCATACTTGGCCGATATTTTTACAATCTGCATTTTATAATTTATAAATAAAACATTATCTTGATTTTTAAATTACGAAAAGGAGATACATCATTTTAAAGCCATATTCGCAAAATCTTTATGCTAAAAGGAAATATTAACCATTAAAAGTTTCGGTGGAGGCCCATAATGTACGCTTCGGATACTCACGAGTGCCGAATTAACTACTAAACTGTAAAAAACGTAGACGAAAGCGTGGATTGTAACATATTCCCATGATCGGGGAGACGGGTAGACGGCGTTTTAATGCACCCATAATCGTCGATCGACGGTGGATCATATGAAATATGTAATACCGCTAATAGGCCTCGGTGGGCAGCTTCCTCAGCGGTCGCTGGGCCAATTTCGCTGTTCGTAATAACTTTAATATCCCATCAGTGCTATGCGCTATGCGTGTACAAAGACGAGGGAGCGTAATTGTAGTTCACCAGACGATCGCGACCGCCTCCAAGACCCGTAATCCTTTTATAAATTTGTTTGGTTACAAAGAGATTAATCTAATAATATCACACAATATGATCTCGTCTTAAACAACGATTATATCATAAAATGCAAAATTCAAATAAACAGTACTCCATAGTTAGTCACGGTATGTTAAAAATGTCTCGCTCGGCAAAACCTACATACGGAGAAGCATCGTGAATGAGTGTTTCTAAAATGAGATATAATTTATTACAGAAAACAGTGCAAACGTTGTGACGCAAACATTTGTCGACAGTTATTAAGCGTTAGAACAGTGCATCAGGATAAAGGGAACGAACACGATACGCTCGAGGATATTGTGGTACCAGTAACACGTGAAACTAAAATATAAATCAAACGAGAGACAAATAACTTCGCATTAATTATTCTTTTTCGAGTATCAAATCGTTTATACCTGTCGCCAACACTAACGTTACAACTAAAAAAGAGACTTATGAACTACAATCATTTAACGAGTTGTCTTGCAAGTAATTTGGTAATTCGAAGATAAAATTAAACGACACTGTATTATTGGAGATCGCAATGACGTATATTTGATTACACGAAATTGTTAATACGCTAATTATGCAACCGAATTTTCAAGTGGAAACATCGATTAATGTAGAAACAATAAAATTGCAATACAGCATTTTTTCTTTTAATATCGTGAATTTCTTTAGGGATTCGCAACCGCGAGGTTGTCTTTAATAGAGCGTTGTGTCTCTTCATTTTGTTTGAACGTTCACTGACTCTGTTATTTCGGAGCGACTAATAAATTGCGTGATGACAGGTGTCAGCTGCTCTACCGCCTCTGCACTCTTGCGTCGATGTCTCATTCCTCACGTTCTACTCCTAAATACTCTTATTTTATCAACGCCCCTTTCAATTTTCGTTTCGTTCTCTCGTCATTCTATTTGCTTATTTTAGCATTATCGCGTTGGTTGCGCTAAACTGTTTTGCTTGAAGTGCATATTTACATATGCGTGAAGCGATGGTTTCACATGTGTTTTGACAAATTACGTGGATTATTATTAGATATGGTTTTGAAGCTTATTATATATATTTACAAGGAAAATTGATACATTAAAAGGCCATTCACATCTGTCAAAACATTTTTATTTTCACTTATAAAGAGGTTAAATATTTTTTTTAACATGCCGGTGTTCATTTAATCTGTTTTATGTTTGAATTTTAAACGTTATGGACAAGTGTAAAATTAGGGAAGTACTCATAACGCTCTCTGGCTTTATGTATAAAATATTGCAACTATCAGGTGTTACAGCTCAAGTTGATGATTAGAAATTCAAAGGTTTATTTGTGTACCAGTGATATTCGACGAAGTTTCACAACGTATTAAAGAAATCAATAAAAACGTTGCCAAAATGGTAACTTCTAATAGTCGTCGCCGTCATCGTCTTAAATACGTCAATTCATTTCATACTCTATCAATAAATCAATCACGAAAACAACGAAATAACACAGTTTATGATTGTAACAATTTAATAATCAACACATTTCAGTCGTCAACAAGTGTGTAATTTATTACAGCTTACAACGGATCAAAGGGAACAAAAGGAGATAAAGAAACCGTTTCCTCAAAAAAAAAAAAGAAACACGAATAAAGAACGATATGATATAAATCAAAAGATATATGTATTTCCTTTTACTATCGTTAATTACGGCGGGGCGTATATAAATAAAGAACGCGCGCCCATTGAGGCGGACCGGAGAGGCAACCACGGTGTCGGGCCTTGTCGCGACAAGCAAATGCACTTATCTCACCGGGATTTGAGAAACTGTTCTGAACTCGCTGTCTTCGGTTAGTTGCACCAACACAATGCATCCGAATATACACTCCGAGTCATTGCCATCAGAGGTCACTCTTGAACTGGATTTTGGGAATTCGACAAATAAAAAGTAACAATGAATGGACATGGACATCCTACGACGAAAACAATAAGAAGCAACACTTACTCTGAGTTTCATATCTACTGTATTATATAACTAACCTGATCTTATTATTGTGATAATATATACTGCTGACTCCTAAGATCAATGGTCCTGATTATCAATCAATTCGACTAAATTCTTTAATTTATAATAACTATTCGAGTCACCATAAAGTCGTTAGTCTCACAGGCAATATTAAAAATAAACAGAAGTCATTTGAAGTATTATCATTAAAAATAAATTGTCCGACCAAGAATGAATATCAATAAATTGAAAGTGTAACTCGTAAAAACATATCATCGATTATTGTAAACAGCTGGCGGGCATTTATGCAAAACGAGTTGTTTATTGGACCAATTCAACCGCGGTAGCGATGTAGAAGAAACTTTAATTGAAACTAACGTTAAGAATAGAGATTCGTGCCAGGTTTACGCGTACAATATGTTTCTAATTAACAATTACTGTTATTTTTTGTAAACACGAAATTTAGTTATGTAGCTTATTATGACACTTACGGCTACATTAAAAGTCTTGTGGCTAATCTAAATTGTAAAACGTGAAATCAGAAAGAAACTCGTCAGTGCTCAAAAATAAGAGAGGCAAATGTAATGGATAATAATATTATACTATTGGTGTGTTGAAACAATTTCAAGAGTTATTTTAATTAACAGGGTGTACTCAAAAATGTTTTAGGGGATTTCACCCCATCCGTATTTAATTCAGTCGGCTCAATTGATTGTAGCAGTTAACCCGTTCGCTGGCAGTGGTGCATAAATCTCTCTAACGGATGATTCTCAAATAAAACGTCGAGTCAAGTATTCGTGATAGCGGTTATCGGCCCGTTTTCAACTCCTTTTTCCTTCCATTTTGTTAAGCAAATAGAGGCCTTGTTCGGTCGGTAGGCGATCCTAATTAAAAACTATATTCAGCCCCCGTCGTATATTACGCAGATGTAGCCCTTAGGCAGTTACTCACTCCGTCTGGTCGCCTCCCAGTCGTTTAGTGTTTTTGACTTTACCGCGACGGACGTATATTGTTTCTTATACCATCGACCTCTGTATTTGATTCTAAGGTAAAAATATCAAACGACACACTAGTCCACGTATCTATTTCTCTAATAATCACTATTAATTAATGAAACCATCTGATTATAATTAAATGAAAGAACATATATACCGTAGGCAAGTATTTATTTGTTAATAACATCAATCATAATGCAAGAAACTTCAGAGATTTTTATATATAAAAATTTATTCATACGTAAACATTTTTTTTGCTTGTTTCTGTAAATACGAAATATAGACGATGATTAACTTATTTTTATACTCCTATCTGATTAGCTCAAGAGAACATCACCAAATGAGTGATAGGCTTAATCAGACAATGGTTAAATTTAAATGCATCACAAAATGTGACCATATGTCTGAATCTCTATTAATAATGTAAAATGTAAAAGTTAAGAAAGGGTCATTATCGGAAACCTTTCATGTTAAAGAGTTTCCCAAAATAATAATGGAATATGTTTTCACAAAACACACATGTCGACGCAAGCTAATATTGAAAAATTCCAGAATCAATAAATAATCAGAAGTCAATTAAATAACAAATTACAAACAGAATAAAACGTCTCGAGATAATTACAAACAATATCGAATTGAATGTTTGATCAATTCATAATTAGAAACAATTGTAAATACAAAAGCTATAAGCGGCGGAGAGCTGGAAGTAGCTGGCATCCGATTCTTGTTTATAAGGCGCCCGGCCCACCTCCTCAGCACTAAAAATTTTGATCTTATCTCCAATATTTTAATAGGTTCCCGTGGCGGCACCTTCGCCAGTAATTGTATGAAGCATCTCTGGAGGAATAAAT